GGATTAACTAATTATTAAAGAAAACCCTAAACCCATAGCAGTTGCATGAGATGAGCAGTTGCATGTCCCAGAACCTCTCTGCTATTGCCTTGATAGCCTAATGTGTGTATATTCATGACTGCATGCATGCCTTGTATTTACCTGCTCCAGAAAGCTCTATTCCTATTTATCTTTCTTATGTTATTCTGTGTTCTGATTTTTTTAATAATTATTTCAGAAATATATTTGAAAAATTACTATTTTCAGCTGCATGAGCTTTAAATAAAATAAAGAACAATGGTGAAAAGCAACACGTTTCTACTTAGTAATTAAATTTGCTAGCTCAAGGTCCAAAATACTTAATAAACGTATACTGAATAACTGCAATAATTTAGACTGTAAAGGAACATGAATGTGGCCATATCCTAAACAATATATCATATGTTCTTTTGAGGGGGTGAGGAGAAGGTATTCTTAAGCTGTGGTTTATTCTTTGCTATTTTTTGATCTTTTTACTCCTTTTTTGCTTAGTTCTATTACTGCAGTTTTCTTCTGAACTTTGTAGTGTATCATTTTAAAATTGCAGCTGTTGTATATGGTTGGATAGAAAAACAATGAAAGTTACTAATGCACTTTGCACTTGTGAATTACACTTACGTTTACCTTATTATAGAAAGTTACATTAGATGTAGGCATTTCATAGTGACTTGTATAGTCATTGTCTATGTCTTTCATAGACAACTTGTAGTAGTCTGACATCCTGCCAGGATACAGAATCCTGAGGAATATTGTATACAAGGAGATGTGTCTGTGTATTGCTATACTGACAGCCTGTGTCTGGGATGGCTGAATCATATCCACATATTTTGTATATCATACAGATCAGGTGACTCCCTAGTCAGAAATTAGGCAGCAACTTTGTAGGTAGCTGCTTCTTATTACAAGGTTTGGGATTATAGGGGAAAGTTTAACGATAAGGCATGCATGTGTATATTGTTCCTCTAAGGGGGCAATGATACTCAGAAATTCCAGTAACATCACCATTTTAAACTTAAGTTTCCTTTTAGGTAGCCTGTGTTCCAAGGCTAGCTGAAAAAATATTAGGAATAATACACCATTGCAGGGAGTGGGGCTATAGTTCTTTGTGAAGGTTTGTACTGTTCCAAACTTGAGAGGCTCAAAAACTTGGCATTAAACAGAAATTAATCTTTAATTTAAATACAGATGTGCTGTTGCGTCACCAAAATATACAGACTTGCTTGTGGATACTTGGGATTTTAGCTTACATATGGGGTTTTTTTTGGTGGTTGTTAAATTATTAATTGCAAAAAATATCCTCTTCCCCCTCCCTTTTTCTTTGACTCATAAGGGAAACATGAAGTCAAGGTGTCTCAACTTGATTACTAATTTAAATACTACTGGTAATAATCCTTACTGTAGCAGATGTGTGCTGCATGTAACTGTTTGCCAAAAATAATCTATTTTGGAAATTATTCTAAGAGTTTGTAGCTCAGTTGCCTTTTTTTTAAGGATCTTGCACTTTATCATTATGTTATAATTCTAATTTTATATTCATTTTTATGCAAGCAAATGTTAACTTTTAATTTTGTTGCTATCTCAAATCACAGGAAGAAGGCATGGTTGAGATAAATTATTTTCCTCCTGGAGGCATGATTGATTTAATGTACTTTCCATACTATGGGAAAAGCTTGCATGTAAGTATGCCTTAATGATAGTCTTTATTTTGTAAATGTTTTGTTTCTGTTTACATTTACAATTACTAATATAATATTGATTCCGAAGTTTGAACTTTGTAATGAGGTGCTCATAAGGAATATTACATATGCAGGAGATTAGAGATAGCCTTTAGCAGACCGAAGGAAATAAACAGGGCACTGTCCTAGTGAAGAAGAGGCTGTATACTAGCAATGTTAAGGGCATCTGCTGCTTTTTAGTCACTGGTATCTTTTGGAATCTTTTTGAATGCAGGCAAAGGCAGGAAAAGTAACTGGTTCTTCGGATTACAATACAATTTCTAAGAGTTAATCCTTGGGTTTTATGTATAGGATATTAAGTTTCTAATTCGTTATGGTATTATTGATTATATTCCTTTGTGGCTCTGCAGTCATGTTTTCTATTTGCTCTGTTTTATAAAAGAGCACTTCAAGGTAGCAAATAGATTTTATTATTATTATTATCATTATTTTTATTATTTTATTTTTCTAGTCTTTGTTTTTCTTTGCTTGCTCCATTTATCCTCATTGAATTCTGACATAAACTTTATTTATCTAATTGAAGAACACTTAAGTTTAAAAAAAAAAAACAAGCTCACTACTTTATGGACACAGAATATGTAGAGTTACAACTCCAATTTCTTTTCAAACTTGAATTTAGGTTTTTTTTTTCTTTTCTTGCATCAACTTGTGAAAATCTGTACTATCAAATATAAAATTGCCTCTTATTGACCAAGTTACTTAGTCTAATAAACATCTTCACTGTTCACCATTGAAGATAGAAGCACTTTTTAAACATAAATCTGTTAGTTTACCATAGTATAACACAGTGGTTGGTTGTAATATTCCCAAAGTGATTTTTGTACTAAATGATTTCTTTATCAATTTTATTTTTCCAGTGTACTCTATACTTACTTGCAGCAGTTCACATAACCATTTTTTATCCTTGCATGGCTTTTGCCAAAGGGGAAGGAGTTGGTTTTTCTTCAACATTTGCTTTCATATTATTTATGGGTAGTTCAGTGTTTTTCATTTTGTTGCCAGATTTTTTGAATTGGTAAACAATCCATTTTCTTAGACATACAAGATTAGAGAAGGACTGTCAATGTGTGCTTCCAACAAGCACAGTCAGTCCATACTCT